ATTGCCAACTTTAATAAGGGCATTTGTCAAAGAAATAAATATGAGTGAACATGAATAGCTGTCTAGTTACGTACAACAGCAAAAATGTGAAATAAGAAAATAATAGTGCTCAATCGCTGCAGAGATAAGCAGCCCAGTCATCGAAAAGCTGTACCGACAACCAGTTCAACTGTTCAAAACATTCAAAACAAAACAAAAAATCAAAGAGCAACAAAATCTCCTGTATACCAATTTTGATTTATACAGATTTATGCTGGATTATGGAAATTCCGACAATCCGTAAAATGTAATCGATACTTTCTTTGGTTTTTCCTTCATTCAAAACCACACCGGTGTTTAGAGTGGCACTTTAAGAAAGGACAGAGAATCGCGCAAAAAATCACGAACATTGATTAACTATGAAGTGAGACTAAAGAATATAAGAGTTAGGTTGTGGGTAAGGCAAAGAAAAAAAGAACTGAAATTGTTGGCAACCTCAAGCAGCTATGGTGGTGCTCTTGTTATATTAATAGAAACCATACCTATATCATCCACCTTTGCAAGATGTGAATATTTTGATGCAAAGGCGTCAATTTGTAGCATGCCGTGTAATTGTGATGCTGTAAGATGTGGTGCTCTTGCTATGGCGTCATACTCTGCTGGTGATGTGTCATCACGCATTTTTGTCGGCCCAGTCGGTTCGGGAGACAAACTTCGTTCATCCACGTAACTAGGCCCTACAATGCACTTGTTAAAGTGATCAGCACGATATTCAGAAGGCGGTGCATAGAAAATAAGAAGAAACCAAATAACTGGGCTCATGTAGAGCAGTGATTTTCCAAGAACTTATTCAATACATTTAAGAAGGATCAGATTAAGAAACAGAAAATTGCACAAAAGAAAAAGGAATTTTTCAACGATTACTCTCATTCTGTATTTTCCAAATCTAAAGCTGAATGCAGCGGGAACTTTTAACATGCAGAGTATGCAGGACGAGGTTTACAGCAAGGCACATAGTGAGAATCGATTTCATCAATGAGGTTTGCAATACTTTTTCTTTGT